AACACATCCTATTTTACCCGATGTAAACAAACATCAGTGATTGGCTGAGAATACTCATTAGTCTACTTGGATCAGCCCGACGGGTCACCTGGGTTGAACAGGTCCAATCACTACTATATATTGCTATATACCTTTTTATATACTTACAGTATAACCTCAATATAATGAAGCTCTGGAGCTGGGGTGTTTGGTTCGATATATCAAGGTTTCAGTCCATTGAGGTATCTTACTATAACAAATCTATATATAATTTTATAAAATATTCAGTTTACAAATAATATCCCTTGATATAATAAACATATATATTTATTTATAAAATATTCGGTTTATATAATGTGTTTCAATATAAGAATTTGATTGATAGAGTTACACAAAAGTTTTGTTATACTATAAATATTTTGCTTTATCAAGGTATTTGTTATATCAAGGTAATTTTATTATAAATGAAAAAATTTTTTCTTTGTTATACAGTATATCAAGGTTTTATAATTAAAATTTGCTATATTGAGATATTTTTGTAATAAAAAATTTTAGCTAAAAAAAATCTTCACTATAATACCAAATTCGGTATATTGAGATTCATTATATCGAGGTTATACTGTATATTTTGTTATAATATAATCAATAAGTAAGTTGAATATTAAAATAATAAAAGAAAGAAAAACTATATATCACTATATGTCTTTATACAGACCAATATTCTTTTATTATGCTACCAATATATAAGTTAAATATCAGAATATATTATTATAATATGTATATCAGTATAATAATAAAATTATATAGACATATTCTGATAGTTATATATTTGACCTGTAATTACTATAGAGTCTACACAAAAACAGTAGATCTTTGAAGAACCATATTATTTTACCAACAATTACTTCAAAGATACTACATTTCACCAAAGCTATTTTACCAACAAGCTTATTTTATAGATAATTAATTTACCAACAAGTTTATTTAGTAGACAGTATATTTTATTAGCAGCTTATTTTATGACAAGCTTTTTTAAATCTAATTTTAACAACAATAACTAGAATTACTTTATCTGTAAAATAATCTGTTGGTTAAATATATTGTTTATGAAATAAACTTGTTAGTAAATTAATTATCTAAAAATAAGCTTATCAGTAAAATAGGTTCTATAAAATGTGATATCTTCAAAGTGATTGTCAGTGAACTAATAAAAATTCTATTTTGATATTACTATTATTATAGTACTTTATTACAAATACAAGGTTCTGCTTTGCTATTGTAGCCTTAGAGTCTAATCACCAAATAAAAGGTTCTTGCACTATGATCACTATTACATAATGAAAGACAAAGCCATGCTTAAAAAAAAAAACAAAACCTTAATATAAATGCAAATTCAAAAAATTAATTAGTAGTATTAGCTTTATACTATAAAATTTGAAATTAGTAATTATTAATATTAGTTGCTTCATAATAATAAATTTTCAAAATTAATAATCATAATGTCAATTTTGCATATGGTATGTAAAAATCTTCTTCCAAAAATGAATAAATGAAATTATAACCCTTACCAAAAAAGAATTTTGCAAAAAAAAACAGGATAAGCAATATAGAAAAAGTTGAAAACAACAATACCTACCACATTTTATATTACATATGCAACATGATCGTACTGGTATCTAAAACAAAAATAAAGGATCACTTCTTGGGTATACGATACACATAAAAGAATAAAAATAAAAATAAAAAAAATTCAACCTCGCAATAATACTAAGTCCATCACTTTGCTAATGGACTATAACTAAGATGATGCGTAAACCAGCATATTTTAATATTTAATATTGTAATTTTTTTTGTACACTATGAATGTATATAGATACTGTTAACAGAAAGTAACATAACCATTTCATCATAATGACACACTGAGTGTAGTTATAACATTCGATAGTAAAAAACTTAATAATGGATAAATGAGAATCATAGCTTTTATCAAAAAAGGATTTCAGGAAAATCAGCATAGGCGACATAGAAAAAGCCATACGTAACTGCACATTATATGTTACACATGCAACGTGATCGTACTTGGTATGATTTATTCTAGACATATGATCTGCAAAATAATTATGTCACGCTCAATAATAACAAAATCATGTATTGGACACAGCCAATCAAAAACATTTTAAAGGCTACATTTTGGCGGCGATTAGCGATTTATATAAATATATATATATAAATACAGAGATATAAATACAGAAATAGTAGAGATATATGCTGTATCACTTAATCAAGCCATCTGATTGGGTATTGAAAATATTTATACTTAAAATAGTTTTAGAATTTTCAACGCAATTGTTAGAGTATTGTTCGTGATGACCCAAAATACTACATCATCTTATAATAAAATTGAATTAGGGCATTACTTGCAAACCTTGAATTTAATAATACTGTTTCACAAATATCCAAGTCCTATGAAGTTGCCAGTGAATCTGAAAAGAACGAACTGAAGGCAAATTTTTTTCTTCTTCAACAATTTGCCAATAGTAATCATGTAATCATGTATAATGTTGCACATTGCTATATGTTTGGATTTGGGGTTGAAAGGAATGAACATGAGGCGTTTACTCATTATCAAAAATCGGTTGAAATGGGTAACTTGGATGCAATAATTAATGTTGGTCGTTGTTATGAAATGGGAATTGGAGTTAAAAAAGATGAGTATATGGCTTTTATTTATTATCAAAAATCTGCTGAAATAGGTGATCCTAAAGGATTATTTGATCTTGGTAGCTGTTATTTACATGGAATTGGAGTTAAAAAAGATGAATTTAAAGCTTTCACTTATTATCAAAAATCCGCTGAGAAGGATCTCCCTGAAGGAATTAACAAGGTTGGACATTGTTATGGAACTGGAATTGGTGTTAAAAAGAATAAATTTGAAGCATTCAGGCATTTTCTAAAAGCTGCAGAGAAGGATTATCCTCCAGCAATGCATAATGTTGGTTATTGTTACCAAATTGGAGTTGGAGTCGAAAAAAATGAACGTAAGGCATTTATTTATTATAAAGAAGCAGCAAATAGGGATTTTCTTCCTGGAATACATAATCTTGGAAATTGCTATGAAGGTATTGGAATTGAAAAAGATGAACGCATGGCATTCATTTATTATCAAAAGTCTGCTGACATGGGTCACCTGATGGGGCGTTTAATGTTGGTAATTGTTATCGAGATGGAATTGGAGTTGAAATAGATAAACATAAGGCATTCATTTATTATCAAAAATCTGCTGATATGGGATTTGCACCCGCAATTTATAACCTCGGATTTTGTTATCGATTTGGAGAAGGAGTTGAAAAGAATAAAAATAAAGCATTCAATCATTATTATAGCGCTGCTGAAATGGGTAATTCTGATGCACTGTTACAAGTTGGAAATTGTTATCGTTATGGAATTGGAATTGAAAAGAATGACAAGGAAGCGTTTATTTATTATGAAAAATCAGCTAAATTGGGAAATCGAGAAGGTATTAATCAAGCTGGATTTTGTTATAGAAATGGAATTGGAACATCGAGAGATTTACAAAAATGCAACGAGTTGTATCAAAGGTAATATCCCATTTTTAAGCAATCATTGCTATTTAGTAATCATTGTTATGTAAGTAAATTCACGGTATTTGTTTTATTTTGGCATATTAGAAATTTTCAGCCTTCAGGTAATTTATTTATTAATTTATTATTTACTAGCTCACTATTAAATCTAACCATTAAATTTTTAGTAACAAATAGCTGGATAAATAAAAATCCTGATATTGATGATGGTTTAAAAAAAATATTGATTAATAATCACAAATTGTTGTGGATTCCCTATAATAAATTAAATAATATTACAATGATAGGAAAAGGTGGATTTGCAACAGTTTATTCCGCTACATGGAAAGAACCGAATCAGGAACGAGAAAAATTACATGAAATAGATGCTAGTTATTATGAAGCATTTACTGGAGGGGTTTTATACAATAAAGTTGCACTTAAATTGTTATGTGGATCAAATATGTATAAAGAAGAATTTATAAATGAGGTATTTGTCAAATTATTTATATGCTTTCGTGCTTTATTCTTTATTAAAATTTTATAAATATTAAAGTTAAAAGCATACAGTGATATTGGTTATAAAAATCTTCATTCTTCCGATGTATTGGAATATCAAGAGACAATGCATCTAAAGATTATGTTCTTATCTTACAATACGCGCCAATGGGTTCTTTACGCAAAAATATTAATAAAATAGCATCAATGAAGTGGAAAGACAAGTTAAATTTATTACAATGTATTGCGTCTGATCTTCAGATAATTCATTCTGAAGGATATATTCACCGAGATTTACATAGCGCAAACATTTTGCAAGTCGACATATTTAATGCATATATTGTAGATTTGGGACTGTCAAAATTAGCTGATATAGGATCAGGTGACAAAATTTGTGGTATATTACCATATATCGCACCCGAAATATTGTACAATAAATTATATAGTAAAGCATCTGATATGTATTCGTTTGGTATCATAATGTATGAAATAGTTTCAGGTCATTTAGCATATCATAATGTTCCTCATGATATTCATTTATCACGTAAAATTTTTAATGGTTTACGTCCTAACATTCCTACACATGTACCAAAGTTGATTTCCGAATTAATTATCAAATGTTGGAGTTCTCAATCCGAGAGAAGACCAACTTCTGAAGAAATATACGATGCTATTTGTACGTGGAAGAATGATATTTTAGACGATAAACTAACTGAGTTCGTTGAACAAATAAAAAAGGCTGATATTTCACTTGAAAAAAGTTTTGTACCCAGCTCATCGGCAGCATTTCATTCCAAGATGCACCGTGAAGAAACTTACGCCAGAAAATTTAACACACTATCGTCACTTACTCTGATAAACAAGATTACCATTCAGGTATTCAATTCTTGATTTTATAATATTTGGATTGTATGCTGATATATAAGCTATGATCAAAATCTGTCATAGGGTTTCAAGTTTTTTACTTTCCGGATTATGCCTCTGAAAATATCTGATCAACAATGATGTATTATTTGTCGCTGAGATTTTGCAGGGGCTAAGTAATAAACTTGAAAGTGCGATGACTTCACTTGGCAGCATAAATTATTATTTTAATACTTACCATTTATTACTACTACTAATTGGAAAGGTTACCAATTTAGGTAAAATGACAGTAGAAGCTTACTGATTCCAGAACCATTTAACGTCCATGATTGAGAACTAATCTATGAATTAAAATTAAGCAAAACTCATTCTCGAAATTTCTGATATCTAAAATATTTTAAAAATTTTTATGTATTCGGATTTAATAATAAATCTTTTCAATAAATTTATCTTTCTTTGTCAGCAAACAAATTTATTGACTAGTCTATTCTCTAATACTATTTTATTTGTCAAAATGCGGGACGAGAAAGCTTTGTTTTAAAGTTTAAGATGGTAAACCAGCAATATTTATATCTCTACGTTTAGAATTGCAAGTTCGAACTAATAGAGCTAAAAAATTCCTTGGTGTTAGAAAAGATAAAATTAAGTTAGTATTGTATAAAGCACAGGCGTCCGCTCATACAATCACTCCTATATAATCACAAACACCACATAATCACAATTTTATACAGGTATTTTTTTAATATTAAAAATACTATAATATTATAATGACTATTGCTAACTTGCGTTAACGCTAATTTATAATCATTGATTAAAACGGAAAGAATTTGACCAATCACTGATAATAAAATCCAGGCAAATTTTCTGGAAATTAATAGTAGATCTCCCACAAAAATTTTTACCCCCACATGCTTTGTGCTACATTTTTCATCACGTTTCATTCCGATTACGTTCATTTATTGTTTACGATCAATCAAACCTTTTTTTTTGTTCTTTTTTCATCTCTCTTTGGTACTTTTTACATCGTTTTTTTGCTGACCTTTACATCGTTCTTTCAGTGATTTTTATGTCATTCTTTTGGTGCTTTTTACATCATTCTTTTGGTATGTTTTGTTATTTTTTTATGTGTTTTTTCAATGCTTTTTACATCATTTTTTGGTGCTTTCTTTCAATGCTTTTTATGTCATTTATTCAGTGCTCTTATATTGTTGCTTCGGTGCTTCTTTTGTCGCTTTTTGGTGATTTTTACATCATTTTTTGTGCTCTTTTCACCATTTTTTCAGCATGTTTTTTTTGTGTTTTTTGTTATTTTTTTAGCATATTCTGTGCTTTTTATGTGGTTTTCCTTGGTGCTTTTTACATTATTTTTTTATATCATTTCTTCTACTTTTAGGTCTTCAATGCTTTGTTTTGATACATTTTTAAGCATGTTTTATGTATTGTTTCTTTGTTGTTTTTATATTATTCTTTCATACCTTTTACATCGTTTTTGTGGTGTTTCTTGCATTGTTCCTTTGGTGCCTTTTATGTTGTTACTTTAGATGTTTTTGTTCTTTTTTTTAATAAATAAAAATACATCTGTTGTATTGAATAAATTTGTGTATAAAGTTTTTTTTATAAAATAAATTAACATTAATATGAACATTCACCTTAATATTAATATTAATGTTAATATGAATGTTCGCCTTAATGTTAATATTAATATTAATGTAAATGTTCATTTTAACAGTCTTAATGTTAATATTAACGTTAATGTAAACATTTGTCTTAATGTTAATATATTTTTTTTTAAGAGTCAAAGCAGTCATACTACAACTTTATTACTTAAGACTATGAAAGAGTAATTCGTATAAGTGAAATTACAATTGATATTCTAAGTTTTATGACCAATACTGCCTTATACTAAAGTGTGATTCATCCAGTTTCCAGTTGGACCTATGTGTGATCTGCCAAGTGCAGAAGCAGCCTCCTTGTTTCTTCTAGATCTACCTCAGATTTCGAATCCACAAATCACTGGCCAGGATCTACCAGCCCGTCATGACTATCTCTTTTCTTCAAATTTTTTCTACCTAGATCTTGGTAGAAAGACTAACTCATAATCTATCTACAATAAAAAAAAACCAAAAAAAGAGACAAATATAGAAAGAGAAAAAAGTAAATGAATATAAAGAGAAAATAATAAAGAGGGTAAAATATGCACTAACGATATAAAAGTAAAAAGAAAAAGATAGAAAAAACAAAAGAAAAGAGATCAAAGTCATGACCTATATACAAAAACGAAAGGGTGCACTATTATAACCTGTGCAAGGCTAAAAAATTATATACTAAAAGCAACGTTTGTATATCTCTATTGTAAAGCTTTGCCTTATCATTGGGTTTTTCTTTCCGACCATTTGACGTACTTCGGATAGTTTCGCTCCAGCACGTTTTAATCTGTATCTCAAGCCAGGTGCTGCTGTCGTCCATAGACCCGTATCTCAAGCCACCTGCTGCTGCTATTAGGAGTATCTTCTTCCTTATTAAAGGTTTCTTATCCAGGGCCCGATTTTGTATAGAGGTGCCGTATTTGTAAAACACATGGTTGCAGTCTAATAGGCTATCTGAATTTGGAATGTAAACAATGCTGATTTTTTGGAGGGGTAAGCTAAATCCCTACTTTTTTTGAAAAAATTTTGAAAAACTAGCAGGAAAGTGGAGATAAGTAAGAGAAAAGTCACTTGTTCGAGTAAAAGAGTGTGGCTTGAAAATAGTAAGTTCTTCACTTTTCCTAGTTATTTTGCAACAGGTTGCTTTGTCGACGGAGAAACACTATAATCCCCACCAAAATTTCATATACAAGGGCACACTTCCCTAGCCAGTTATTTTGTATAAAGATGCTTTCAGCTTGCATGTCAAATATATAAAGGAGTTCTCGTAAAGCACAAGAGGTTGACCTTTATAAAAACTGCACTGTTGTCTACTTACTACAGGTCTTTTCTATTTCTCCAGTATCCAAACTTAACTTTTCTTTTGTGAGAAATTTTGGTCCAAGTAATCATCAAGAAGAGTTGTATTTAATGTAGTCTTAATGTTAATATTAACATTAATATTAATGTTAATATTAATATTAATATTAAGATCATTAAAACAAATGTTTATATTAATATTAATATTAATGTTAACATTAATGTTAATATTAATATTAATATTAATGTTCATATTAACATTAACATTAATATTAATATTAAGATGTTCATTAAAAGTAAATACCAATCAAAGTACAATCATGTGGGGGTAAAATTTTTTGTAGGTGATCTATAGGCATTTTTCTAGAACCATGATCAGATGTATATTTTGTGTGTCATGTGCAAAATTATAATCTGCTCAGTTGGTAATCATATGATGATATTCATAGAAACTTCTAGTAATGATTTCTCAGTAACTACTTAAAAAAAGTACATTAAATTTAATTTGGAGTTATCAAGAAATCATCACTAAAAGGTTTAAGAAACCTTAAAATATCTTAAAAAAAGGAAAAAAACTAAAATTCTTTCTTTGAAATTTAAACAAAGATTTCTAGACAACCAACTATCTAAATTTAACAAATTTTTTTATAAAAAAAATTAATCAAATTTAAATAGCTGGTTGTTGAAGAATATTCGTTAAAAGTTATAAAAATTTGGCTACAGCTTATTTTTTAATAATATCTAAACTTTGAACAAAAATTACTTAATACTTACCTGGTAAAATATTTTTATTTTAGTTTATGAGATTGTAGAACTAAAATAAAAAAAATTAATTGAATTTGACCAGATAAGTGTTGAGTAATCTTTGTTCAAAGTTTAAATATCATTAAAAAATAAGCTGTAGCCCATTTTTTTTTAACTTTTTAATGAATATTTCTCAATAACTAGCTATTTAAATTCGATTAAATTTTTTTTTATTTTAATTTATGAATCCACAAAATTAAAATAAAAAAAAATTAATCAAATTTGAATAGCTGTTTGTCAAGAAATATTCATTAAAAGTTAAAAAAAAATTTTGGCCACAACTTTTTTTTTATAGATATTTAAACTTTGAACAAAAATTCCTAAACACTTATCTAGTCAAATTCAATCAATTTTTTTTTATTTTAGTTCTAAAATCTTATAAAATTAAAATAAACATAATTTGATTGAATTTAATCAAATAAGTATTAAGTAATCTTTGTTCAAATTTAGATATCATTAAAAATAGGCTGCAGCCAAATTTTTTACAACAACCAGCTATTCAAATTTAATTAAAATTTTTTATTTTAATTCTATGAACCCACAAAATTAAAATAAAAAAAAATTCGTCAAATTTAGATAGTTGGTTGTCAAGAAACTTTGTTTAAATTTCAAATAAAGAAAAATTTATCTGAGTTGTTTTTTTACAAGATATTTAAGATAGGACATTTAAAGATCACTGAACCCAGTGATCAACAATGATAATATATTATGACATTATTTGTTTACTAGAACTAAACAAACTAGCCTAAACTAACTCCTACCCTAACCCTAAACCCTAACCTAGGCCAAGTAATTGTTATGTGATATTGTGATGATCACTGGGTTTAGTATTCTTTAATCTTTCCTTAAGACTTTTTAAAACTTTTAGCAATAATTTCTTGATAACCACCAAACTAAATTCAATGTACTTTTTTTTATTTTAATTATACAATTCTTTAGAATTAAAATAAAAAAAAATTTTACTGAAATTGGTCAAGTAGTTACTAAGAAATAATCACTAGAAGTTTTAAAAAACTTCAAATTTTTTAATAGAATCTTCAATTGCAAAAGTTAATAGATGTTCTATGAACATTATCACATAATCACCAACTGAGCACGGATTACTAAAATTAGAAAGAGTTTAATTTAAATTATGTCTAATTTATCTTTCTCATAGTTTTAAGCAAATTTCAAACAAGTACTATACTGATTGTTTTAGATATTATAAGCTTTTGTATTGAATATATAAAAGTTTTTTAGTCTTTAAGTAAAATATGCAATATTTGTTGTATAATATATTATATTAATATAAACAGAGATTTGAGATTTAAATTATGTATCCAATTTTGCACATAACTAATAATTGACAAAACCTGGCACAGATTTTGGGATACTATTACTTACTAACCTTCTCTGCAAGATTTATACATCAAATTGTGATCAAACTAATACAAATATATATAAATTATATAAAGATGTTACAATAGTACTAAAAGCTACAATCCAACTATACATTTATAAAATCAGCACAATACCTAGTATCACCCTTCTAATATCTTCTTGCAAACAATAAAACTCACCTTATATCTATTTACCTAT